TGTTTATATCCAAAACAATCACCGCATAGCTCAGTGCTGGGGTTTATGGTGGTCATGTTTATGCTAAATACTGTTTTCAGACCATTATATAAGCTATACCTCTAAGACATAACAAATGTTGCGATCATTTTGTTTCATTCTGAAACGTGTTGTAAAAACCCATACATCTTTAACAACAAGCTACTGTCAAGGGTGGAAGTGGGGTTCAAATTCCACTCGCCCTGACCTGGTCAGAGTGTAGATATCATCAGTGTGTGACAAGAAAGTTAGACTGTCTGTTTCCATTCCTTGTCCATCGAGACATCTCACCTGAGCCATCTGACTTAACAACAAACATATTAAACAGGACTTAGAGGACGAGAGAGCAGAAGATGGTAAATATGAAGTTATTTAGTACAAAGAAAACAGAACTACAACAGTTTTTTTGAACCTAAAAAAGGGTCTTTTCCCAGCACGAGTCCATTTTTTCTGTTCTGTGACCTACATTGAACAGACAGGAATTTGGGGCATGTGTTGCTGAGAGAGATTGAGATGGGGCAGTACAAGATGTTACATGTATCTAATATATGGGTGATGCATATCCAACAACATTAGCCCTGTAATGCTTTCTAAATGCCCGCCTGTGTGAGATGTATTTCTAAGGTCTGAGTGATCAGGTCTAGCTGGGCTTTTCCCAGGCGTCTGGTCGATCCAAGGTAAGTCAGAATTACCCTTTCATGGCTCTAAACAGCTTTACTTGGATCAGAAGCGGTTACACAAATGGGCCTACTAGCAGGCAGACCCAGTTTGAGACATAGTTTGAAAGAGAAAAGTCTCCTGTGTGCAAACAGCTGTAGGGCAGAGGACAGGTCCATGCAGACCTTTGTCTTTCTGTCTTCCTGATAAAGTCTAATCAGGGTGCCATCAGATAGCCCCTCTCCCCCAATTACAAACACACACATACCCTCATTAGGCTGCACAGACTCCAGTGATGCAGTCCCTGTCACTTCTTGCCTCAGTGGCTCAGCACATCAACATGTTTGGCTATGTTAACCCAGGGAAATTAGTCTAATCCTTCAGCTCACAATCTTTAATTACATGCATGATTAGTCACAGAAAAGCTCAACCATTTAGAGATGACACTGATCATGCAGATGACAATTTTTTCAACTGCAACTCTTCGTCTGTTTCAAAAAGCTGGGGGATGAAGCATTGCTTTACTATGTCTGGTATTGTGACAGTATCATGACTCAGTTAATGGTAACATCACAACTGTGCAGGGAGCAGCCATGGAGAACACATGAACTGCATGTAGAGCTGTAAAAGTCAGGGTTCACCCTTGGAAACCAGCCGACAAACCAGCTGTTGGTGGTGCCTTTGCTTATGTAACTGAAGAAATCTGGCAACAGTGCATTTTTTGATCAATAAAAGGAAGCTGATTTGGTGCCAGTCTGTGCAGGTCACTAGGCCTTCTTATCAGAGTATCTAAAACCTCTATCTGTGCTTTGTTACATGGTATTCCAGTTCAAAGAGTGCAGCTAACTTGTCCTTTGCCCTCTTTATCTTTAGTAGGTGGGCTTGTATTTGATTATACAAATAAGTACGTCATCTGTAAGACAAGAGAAAAATGGATTGTATTCACATTTACTCCATTAAGTTCTCAGATAGATGAAGTGATCACTCCATTCATACTTACCGTCAAAGCTATTAATATTGTTTGTTTATAGCCAAGAGCAGACCAGGTGCTGCTCTGAAACGTCACCTCCAAGCCCTCTCTGTGCTTGCCTGGCGGGCTATTCTTGTTCCCTGATTCATTTGATCGCCTTGGCTGCCTGTCAAGAGGCTTTAATAATGATTAGGCTTACTGTACAAAACATTTGTTGGGTAAATTGACTCATGGATGTGTGTCTCTCTTTTTTCATGCTGCCAGTAATCAACCCAATGCAAAACCACTTGATTTTTAAAACAAATCACCTTAAAAGGTTGAAATGAATTGCTTCCCGGTGGTTTTAGCCAGTCGACTACTCAGAGGAATGTGCCCTTGGATAACTGTGTATGTGCATGTGTGTGTGCGTGCATGTGTGTGTATGTAATGGGATGTTCAACTGGTTTTTCTTGCCCACAAATGCTCCTCTCTGTCGGCTGGCAGAGTGGCAGACAGAGTGACTCGGAGTTGATACAGTCTCACATTGCAGCCCAGATTCCCAGTCTGCCCCGCAGCCTCACCATTAAAGAATTTCACTTTAAATGGTAACTAGTAATTGTTACCTTTTCTGTAATCATTTAACACATTATTTACAATATGTTGTAAATATATTGTTCAAAAACACTCAGTCTGTAAAACTGATAAACGTGCTTCTGGATTGTTTGTTTTTGTCAGGCTGCGTGGTTTAATGTTTCTTACATGTTGCTTATTCATTTGTTGGCAGATGAGATTAATTATTAATGATATTTCCTGGTTGTAGCTTTTGTGTGTTGACACCCTGTGATAAAAGAGGTTTTCAGATCCTCCCCCTGAAAGTAGAAGTTAATGCAGTAAAAAGAGTAAACACTCAATTACAAGCAAATTTTCCGCATTCCGTCACTCAGGTAAAAGTTTGTAATATGGTCAAGAAAATGCACTGAAAGTTTAAAAAGTGAGAGTACTTAAATTCAGAAAATTAGTTTAGAGTAGATTTTTTTAACAAAGCAGAATTTACATTCATGAGTCTGTCGCTTTAGAGGTAATTCAAACCATTTTGTTAGATGATCACACTTTTGACTGTAAAATCTAAAAAGTTGTTGTCAAATAAGTATAGTACAGTGTATTTCCTTCCATTAAATGAAACCGTATTGGAGTAAAACTGAAATGTAGTCTGCACTGGGAATACTGAGTGTACCTAAGATTTACACTTAAGTACAGCACTTGAATAATTTCCAGCTTTTTAGTTACAAGTACACTGCACTTAAAGTGTATTGAAAGCTACTGAGAACCCAGTTGGATTCCTTAACTCCTGTTTTTTTTTTAAATATTATGATTTATAGTATTATAATTATGTCAAAGTCAAATTTATTTATAGAGCACATTTAAAACAACAGGAGTTAAGCAAAAGTGCTGTACAGTTAAAATAACAGGGCATAAATCCCAATAAGACACAATACCAAAAAGAGAAATCTGAATAAAAGTAAGAATATACTGAGAAAAAAAAAACCACAACACAGTAACACAGTAAGAGATAAAGTCAGGGTGTCATTTCTGTTATTCTACACAGAGGACATTTTTGAATTCTCTCTACTTCTAGTCATAGTTGTGCAGTTTCCATTAGGCAGCAGGACAGTTCAAATTGATCCTACCATGATTAAAAATGTAACAGGAGCAAAAAAAAAGAGGAAGAAAGCGGGTGTAGGGGGTTAAATAAGCTGATTTTAATAGTGATTTAAATTGCAAGTGTAGCCTGGTAATGTCTGGAATAAATGATTGTAAAAAAAAATGAATTAAGTCTGTAGTTCCTCATACAGTAAAAGGCTCGTGTGTCTGTGTGAGGCTGATTGACTGCAGCGTGCCGTGCAGCTGACGGGATGATGTCATGCCTCAGCTCTGAGAAGTGAGGGCGGGGGGAGAAAGGGGGAGGAGCTTCCCAGAGTTGACGGAGTTTCAGGTGCGCTTCAACTTTCACAACAACCCGAGTAAGTAGGAGCGACAGGAGTGTCCAAGAAATCAGCGCGGGGCTTTTATTTACTTTTTTCTTTCTCTTTTTTAAACAAACTTTAACAAAAGTGTTCGGACAGATGAAAATACACAGCTCGCCTTTACTGTGGGATAAAAATGCACTGGGAACAGTTTCTCCGTTTGACGAATGGAAAGGTGAGCGCACACTTTTTACGCACGTTTTGGTCGCCTTTGTGGCAGAAGATTAGTTATTAGAGACAGCTCTTTTTTCTATTAGAAGATTCTGTGCCTTTACTCATTAGGGATACAGAGACATCTCATTAGGACCTTTAGTTTCTCCCGGATGCGTTGCGGTTTGTTGTGTTGACTGTGGTGTCTGTCATCAATTAGTCATACAGCTCAGAATGCAGGTGAGCCTAAGGTGCTTTTGTTTTTACCTCGTATGGTGTGGCAGTAGTGGTGGTGTGAGTGGTGAATAACCACTCTCGTCCTCTGCTGTGCCTTTTTTTTTGTTTGTTTGAGAGTGTTGAGCTCTGATCCCCCATTGTATTACTGTGAGGTTCAGCTGCTTATTTTCTGTGCATGCTAAAAGATGAGGAGAATATTTTCATCACAATCCCTCCCTAAAGCATGCCAGTGTTCAGTGTGTACTTCCCCCGAGGTGTGTGAGGAAATGAATCACATCGGCCACCTGCGAATGAAGGTGTGAAGGGTTCATCATCGTCTCGGGTTGAGTTTATCTGTTTTTAGAAAAACGCAATAAAACCCCAATTCAGATGGTGTCTAGGATTTTGATGCAGAGAATCAGGTCAGTGTCTGAAAAAGCAAAACAGACAAATATTCTTAATCTGTGAAACGGTTGTAAACCAAAAACCTAATATCCTGTCAGTCTTGTCCTATATTGTCTCTCCATGAACAAAAAAAACCCACAGAGATTTTGCTGATACTTTTCCCCTTTTAAGCAAAGAAAAATAGGTTTGCAGACAACTTTAGATTCACACCTGGATGTATTGAGATTTGTGTTGTGCTGAAAATGATGAAAATCTTTTTTTTTTTATCTTCCACTTTTGTTTCCTTGTAAAACACTGTGTGAAAAATGAATACTTTGTGTCTTCCTCTTAAGAGAAACTGACCGCTAGTGGCCTTTTCAGCTGACTCAATATGACTTCTTTCCAAACAACTGGCTACTAAAATGCAGAAGCCTCTTTTTTTAACATGTCAGCAAAATGACGAACGATCTCACAATATGCAACTCACACTTTTTCTTCCCTGTCTTCCTCCCGGTTTTTGTCCTCTTAATTCCCTCATTTCCTCCTCTTACCCTTTACCCTCTTCTATCTCCCTCTCTACGTTTTCCATCTCCTCGCCTCAGATTGACCGGCTGGAGGTGAGCGGGCTGGGCCAAACTCCCCTGGCTGTTTCTTGTGGGGCGGACGGTTCGTTTCCAGGGGGTGAGGATGGCACGCCAGACCCTCAGCGCACGAAGCAGGCTATCGCTCAGCTGCAGCAGAAAATCCTCAAGCTTACAGAGCAGATTAAGATTGAACAGACAGCCAGGGATGACAACGTTGCAGAGTACCTCAAACTGGCCAATAATGCCGACAAACAGCAAAGCACACGCATTAAACAGGTAAGCGTTTCTTGTCTGTTTGTGTCTGCAATTCTTTTGTCTCTCCCCTTTACCCTCACCCCAACCAGTCCGGGCAGATGGCCGCCCTCCTTGAGCCTGGATCTGCTGGAGGTTTCTTCTTGTTAAAAAGAAGATTTTGTATTCCACATTCACCAAAATGCTTGCTCAGAGAAAATGTTTCAGAGTTGTCAGGTTTCACTCTATAATATAATACTGTAAGGTCTGACCTTACTCTGTAAAGTGCCCTAAGAGGATTTTTGTTGTGAATTTGCACTATTTAAAACAAAACAAAAGAAAAACAATGAATTGTTATTGTCTGTGTAACTTCCAGTATGTATTTTTAGTTACACATTAAATCTGGGCGGCTAATTGGCTTGGGTTGATAAACAGACCAGTTAAACCTGTTTGATCAGTTTGTTTGTCCCTAGAGGTAGGGAGGAAGCTTACGAAATATATTAAAGTGGAATTGCTAATTGCAGTGTAATGTGCATTGCATTTGCTAAATAAAACCTGTTTTTTGGATGTCAGGTTTTTGAAAAAAAGAACCAGAAGTCGGCACAGACCATCCAGCAGCTGCAGAGGAAACTGGAGCACTACCATCGGAAGCTGAGGGAAGTGGAGCACAACGGTATCCCACGCCAGCCGAAAGATGTTCTGCGTGACATGCAGCAGGGCCTGAAGGATGTTGGGGCTAAAGTCACAGGCTTCAGTGAAGGCGTGGTGGACAGCGTCAAGGGAGGCCTCTCCAGCTTCTCACAGGCCACCCACTCAGCTGCCGGTGCTGTCGTCTCCAAACCGCGGGAGATTGCCTCACTCATTCGAAACAAATTTGGCAGCGCTGACAACATCCCCTCACTCAAAGACTCTCTGGACGACCCCTCAGTGGAAGAAGGTGTTACAGTTGCTGGCGGACGTTCTCTGGGCAGTGCTGGACATCACCTCCAGTCCAGTCCCAAATATGGTAGTGAGGATGACTGCTCTAGTGCTACGTCAGGCTCAGCAGGGGCCAACAGCACCACAGGGGCTCCTGGGGGTCCCCCCAGTTCCAAGGGCAACACATTGGAGAGGAGCCAGAGCTCCGGCCTGGACATGCTGCTGCAGGAAGTGGCAGAGTTGAGGGAGGGCCAGGCAAGGCTAGAAGAGAGCTTGGACAGCTTGAAGAGCCACTATCAGAGAGACTACACAGTCATTATGCAAGCGCTGCAGGAGGAACGCTTCAGGTACAGAGAGAAGACAACGTACGAGAATGTGTGCATCATGCATTCCTGAAACGTTTCAAGTGATCACAAGAATTCCCCTAAAATTTTAGCATTGTGTAATCAAGAGGAACTGCTGTATTTAGAAAGATATTTCCAAGCACATACTGATCAGTTGATTATTGTGCCATGTGGTGATGTGTTATGGTGGGCAACATTCGCCCTGCTTGTTGCTATAGACAGCACTCTTATCAAAGCGAGCACACAGATAAAAGCAAAACCTTGACCTGCAGTTAATCTATATTGACATAGACAGCTTACATTAAGTGCCTCTCATTATCAAAGCATATTGCCATTGCCACGGGCATTTTAAAGATTTATGTTCTTGTTACTTTCTTTTTTTTTTACTGCTTCTTTGGAAAGAATGTAAGCGTACTTGTTGTGAGGCAGCATTTGGTATTTAAACTGGGAGCTCCTCAAAAGTAACAGACACACCTGTGGAGTTCTCAAGTGTCTTCTATGTACTAAGATGATCAGTGTTGTTTCAGTGCTTGTTCCAGCTCTGCATATACTCAAGCCTTAAAACACACACTGACAGAATGTTCTGACAAGAGAGCACAAAGATTAAGGGAAGGCACAATGAGCAGCTTACATAGTTAAGGAAACATGAGCATTTTTCTTCCTAAAATGTTCAGAGCAGTCTGTGTTTGTCCTGTGAGACCAAAAAAATTTCCAACAGAGAAGAATGACCACTAAGTGGCCGTTTTAAGTCTGCCCACAGGGGACTAATAAGCCAATCTTGTGTTTCTAAATAGCTCCTCATAACTGATTCCATCTTTAGCCCAACCAGTGAGGGCTGCTGATAATGATTATTTTCATTGTTGATAAATGTAAAGTTGAAGCAATCAACTAATCATCAGAAAATAGTCTGACACAATTTAGTTAATTAAATAGCTGTTTAAGTAATTTTCTTCAGTTTTCCTAGTCCTCTATAATGGTAAAGTTACAATCTTTAGGTCATGAATTCAGGATTATTTTTTCTATTCCCCTTTTTTCTGATATCAAACAATCAGATAACAAGGGAATAGTCTGCGGTTATTTTTTTTTTTAATCACTAGAAGATTTCTAAAGACATTTTAAAACCAAGCAAAGTTTTTAGTTTTTTAAATCATGCGTCATCACTCTACATTATATACTGAGTGTTGTTTACTTTACCTACCTGTTAAATATTGTTGAAAGAAAAACAAACAGACAGCCATATACAGTAGCGGTCTCGTGTCTATTTTTGTACTATGTTGTGCATCCAATTGTATGTGCCTGCCAAAATACACAGCAGTATAGATCCCTCTCCTCTGGCTGGCTATGTCCCATTGGCCAGTCTCATACGGCTGACTCTCTGTGATTGGCTGGTTGGATCAGCAGATGAGTAAGCATATCCTAATCTTGTCAGAGCCAGTCATCAGTCCAGTCAGGTGCCATGTGGTTAGATGCCTTCAGGGTCTGTTTCTACTAATTCCTGCATGTGTTTCTTTGTCTAAGCTAATTATGACACAGACTCACGTGTGTGTGTGGTGTGTGTGTGTGTCTTCTTTATTCGTGTATTTAGGTGTGAACGTCTGGAGGAACAGCTGAATGACCTGACAGAACTTCACCAGAATGAGATCCTCAACCTCAAACAGGAGCTGGCCAGCATGGAGGAGAAGATTGCATACCAGTCTTATGAGAGAGCCAGAGACATCCAGGTTCGTCTGTTGGGCTAACGTCCACAAGCACACTGCCCCTGTTCGAAATAAATTAGGTCAACAACAAACAAGTCTGATAGAATTACATTCCACAAGATATGTAAATGGATTTCATTTTAATTTTGATTCCCAGCTTTGGACGATAAGGAACTTTAGAGGATAAAGCGGAGTACTAATAGCTGGTCCTGACTCCCACTGTAAAATGAAATGAAAAATACTTTATCTTTATTTAAATACTGCATTACACATTTATATGGATGTAACAGTGCACTATCCAAAATTCTGCATTTGCTCATACTGATAGTCTGGCCAAGCCAATTTTCTTTTTTTTTGCCCAGTGTCACAGATTTGGATGCCTAACAATATAGCATGGGCTGCAAGGTGGTGCAGTTTGTAGCACTGTTGCCTGGTTTGCATCCCAGTGGGGACACCAGGATCTTTCTGTGTGGAGTTTGCATGTTCTCCCCGTGCGGCAAGGGTTCTGTTCGGGTTGTCCGGCTTCCTCCCACACAGTCCAAAAACATGTTGAGGTGACTCTGAATTGTCCGTAGATGTGAATGTGAGTGTGCTTGATTGTCTGTCTCTAAGTGTAGCCCTGCGATGGACTGGCGACCTATCCAGGGTGTCCCCTGCCTTCGCCCTGAGTCAGCTGGGATGGGCTCCAGCCCCCTCACAACCCTAGTGAGGATTAAGCGGTGTATAGATAATGGATGGATGGATGGACAATACAGCATTCAGCACCTTTATGACTGACATGATGAAAAAAAATCTCCCTCAGAAAATTAAAGATGGGCAAATGTGGAAAAGGTGTCATCTGAACAAAAAAGACCATCCATCCATCCATCCGCCCTTTATCTACACGCCGCTTTATCCTCACTAGGGTCGTGGGGGGCTGGAGCCTATCCCAGCTGACTTAGGGCGAAGGCAGGGGACACCCTGGACAGGTCACCAGTCTATCACAGGGCTACACTTAGAGACAGACAACCAAGCACACTCACATTCACACCTACAGACATTTTAGAATCACCAATTAACCTCAACATGTTTTAGACTGTGGGAGAACCCGGAGAGAACCCATGCTGCACGGGGAGAACATGCAAACTCCACGCAGAAAGGTGCCCCCACCGGGAGCTGCGAGGCAACAGTGCTACCAACTATGCCACCTTGCAGCCCACAAAAAAGACCAAAATAACCAAATTTCAGTATGGAAAATTATAATGTCAAGGAAGAGCGAAAGACTAATTACATATAAAGAATTTGAATACATTTAATTTTTATATTATTACTATCTCCTTCCCCCCACTACCTCCACAAATTTGATGGCAATTCATTTTAATTTTACATTTAAAGATGAAAATAATCTGATCTTAGCAGGCAGTAAAGTAAATATATATATAATCTTTGAAATAATGTATTTTATTCAAACCCCAAGTACTATCATGACATTTTTTTCTTTTAATTTAATAAATATGTTGTAGTTTTTCAAAACTCTATTTTCCACAACAATGCTTCCCCCCCCCCCTCCTGTGTTGTCACTAATCCTCAATTCCTCTCTCGTCAGCCAGTCACATGCCCTGACCTCTTATCACACCTGCTAAGACGCTAGAACAGCAGTGTCAAAGTCACTCTCAGTTACTGTGATAATGGGAGTGTTAAATGACATTTCAGAATAAGCTGAGTTTTAATCATTTTTGGTCCTATCTGTTTAATTTTCTCCTAGTTGGAGTTCAACACTGAACCTTTAGACCTAAGACAGCCCTGTGTTGAAACAGTGGAAGTGCTTATGTTGGTGAGCAGGCCTGTCTGGCTTCCTGCTGTAAGCAGTAGTGAGCTAATGCGGGCTGGTCATTCTAGACGTCATGGTGTCAGTCTTAAAGTTAAACTGAAAGTTTGAGGTAGGCACACACCCTCCAACAGTCAAAAGCATTATCTCATTGGACATGTTGACTCTGTAAACAGGAAGATGAGTCCAGGGATCCAGTCTTCCCTTCAGGCTTTCTGTTTATTCAAAACAAAAGCATCTCCTTGTAAATGTCTCGTATTACTCCACTCCCCTTCTGTTGTCTTTGAAAGCTCAGACGTTGGTAGAAGTCCATAAAATATACACTAAGTGACTTTATTACAGGGGTGTCCAATCCTGGTCCTCGAGGGCCACAATCCTGCATGTTTTAGATGTTTCCCTCTTCCAACACACCTGATAGCGATAACTCAAAAACATCTTTTATGCAATATGACACAGGTATAATGCCATAAATCATTAAAAAGTTGGAATCAACATGAACAACATTTTTCCATGTGTCCCCATGTGTTACCAGTACTGTTAAAAAAGGGAATAAAAGGGAATCTATGTACTGTAGATATTCTATTACTTATATTTCTAAGTTATTTCCTTACTGAACAACTTTCAGTTCAGTCCAGTTCAGCTGAAAATTCCCAGAATTTTTGTCATGTGTCGGTCACAGCTGTGTAATGGCTTCAGGGTTGCACAGTGGAGCAAAGATTTTTTTTGTTCTTGGCTGAATGTGGTGCAAATGGTTTATTTATGGTGGATTTCAAGTGAAACATGAAGAATAAAGGCATTTTTATGAAATATTGTTTTTAAGCTTAGATTTGGTCACGTTTTCAAAGGAAGGGCACATTATAGATGAGCAGTTCAAGGACCATCAGAAAGTTGAGAATCTGGTGATTATTTGTGTTTTTGATATTTTTTTTAAAAGATGGAATGCCTTTCAAACCTGCTGGCAAATTTGGGGGTTCTGAGGTAAAAACAAACAAACAAACAAAAACAAACAATGCAACATTTTGACTTCAAGTTATATATATAATAGCAGGTAATGCTCAGTTTTGAGTAACACTCAGAGAGGTATTATTTTAGCTGTATGTTCATTATGGAAGTTGTAGTTCACATACAGTAAAAGGTGTTTCTAATGTTTTGCAGAGTCCTTTTTACAAACACCAGGGTAGAAAAATATTTTATACGTAAAAAACCTATTTAATATAGTGGAGGTCATTACAGTAAAGTGTTCACTGAGTGTATGGTATGCTGTGAGTTTAGTTCTTGTGGATGTTTGTATGGAGGAAGATTATGATTTTGCTGACTTTTTTTCTTCTGGGTGTCCTTTTACAGGAGGCTTTGGAGGCGTGTCAGACCAGGATCTCTAAGATGGAGCTCCAGCAGCAGCAACAGCAGGTCGTCCAGTTGGAGGGGCTGGAAAATGCCACGGCCCGGACCCTCCTGGGAAAACTTATCAATGTGCTGCTGGCCCTTATGGCTGTCCTTCTGGTCTTTGTCTCAACTGTGGCCAACTGTGTGGTACCCCTGATGAAGACACGCTCTCGCTCCCTCTCCACCCTCCTCCTCATCCTCCTCCTAGCCTTCTTGTGGAGAAACTGGGACGCTCTCTCGGGGTACACACACCGCGCTCTGCAGCCCCCAGGATGACCAGATTGAAACCAGCACGTGTTGCTTTGGGGACGCCAGACGATGTAACTTATAGCTGCAGTCATGCAGGGAGTTTGAAGAACGTGACCGCCATTGGGATGGCTGTGTGGCCGCGCGCTGAAAATTCAGCCGAGCTAATTCGGACACAGCCTGGATCAAGATGAAGAAGAGAGAAAACTTGAGAACATTCACATTTAGGAAGGACAAGACTGTTTACATTTTTGAAATGAACTATTGTGTTGTTATCCCTCACAAAATGCAACATTGTACTGTTTTTATCTTTAGACTTTAATCAATTATAATGTTATTTCTAATAATATTATTTTTATTTTCAATGTTATTTTATTCAGTACCATGTAGCATTACGCTCCTCTCATTCTACATGGTGGGGAGTTTAGTCAGGAAACTGAGCTGGTGAGTCGCTCCAAAGGCCCAGTCTAACTGTAGAGACATGCAAATGTGAGAATGTGGTTGATTGCCTTTAGGAAAAGAAGTCTGACCTCGCTGTGATTGGTAGATTTGAACCATGGCTGAAAACTTTACTGGGAGTTTCTCCTTTCTTGCTGTGATGAAATTTGTTGAAGGACTGACCATGACTTTGGAGCGTCATGATGACTAGAGACTTTGTGCTTCCTTACCATTTCTAATAGCGAAGATCACATGCTTTTAATTATTTTTTTTAAGTGAAAGACAGTTCTCAGTACGCAAGATTGTGAATGATGCATTAAGACTTAAATGGGGGAAGCTGTGACGGGCTGCTCACCATAGAAACGGCACATAAACACACAGAGAACATCTGGCTATTGTCAAGCATCCGCCATATTTGCAGCATGTATACAGTGCTGCATGTCGTCATTAGAAAAATTACATAGGAACCAGTTTTGCTTTTAAAAGCACGGGTCATTGTCCAAGTAAAATCAATTTGCAAGGATAATTGTCTCCCCTCCGCCATATTTGATGTGATCAGGTTGGGAGACCACTGGTGCTCATCCAGCTCTATCTCAGTTGGATCAGGAATGCTGCTGCTTCATATCTACAGTGCAAGTCGTCTCCACTGCCACGCCAGTCGAATGCACACTGCTTGTATGCGATATTACTAACACAGTCTCCTTGCGTATTATCTCTGTGGCCGTTCCTTTTTTTTTCTACAAGCACTCTATCTTAAGGTGTAATCACCCAGTGCCAAACCTTAGCTGACCTAGGGATGCCTGAGCACCCAAAAGCTGAGAGGACAGAAAGAGGATGTTACTCTGCAGATGTAACTTCTTCTCAGACGTGTCATGAATGTCTTGATGTTTCTTTTTAGGAAATGTACGTAATGCAAGCGTAAAGCTATTCACAATCTGAACGTGACCTTGACTCCAGATCCTCAGTTGTGTGTTTCAGCACCTTGCTTTATTGAGCACAGTGTTCCTTGGCTCTAGTCTTTCTCATATTCTTTCTTTCTCATCTAGTCAAGGACACTACAAGTTGACCTAGCACGTTGAATAGTCCACCCTGCATTTCATGCTGAGAAGCTGATTTCCTAACAGATAGCGCGATCATTTGAACTGTACAGCTGCACTTTAGCACACTGCTAGATAGCATATAGGTCAGGCTGAGGCTGAAGAAACCTTTGATAGAGACTTCAAAGGTTGTCACTCTGTAGACAGTCGCCCTCAGCGAGAAAAGAAGAGTTGACTCAGGTCAGGATCACTGTCATCCTTGTCTAAAGATAAAAAAAAACCCACTCAAGGGAATTTCTGCTCAAAATGTGAGTAAACTTGACTCTCCTCAAGTTGAACATGCAATTAAACTGGCTGTTATCAATCTGTTTCAGTTTTGCCATCAAGTGGACAAGTTGAGAGTGAGCTGACCTTTGACCTTAGCTTGTTTTTGCAGTAACACCTATGATGTAGGGTTGTGTGCTAAACCACTCCAGTGCCTTCCGATGTCCTTTTCTAAGTGTGGAATAAATAAAGTGCATTCCTGACTAACTCATGAGCCACCAGTATTTCTTAAAGCGGACACTGTGTTGTTGGCGGTGCCTGTACCTGTACCTGGAACAAAGGTTTTTTTTTTTTTTAGGCTGCTTGCAGAGGCCTCATGTAACCACGAGATGGCGATCTTTTACCTCGTAACCCTTGATGTTGCTCCAGTGTGTGTGAACGGCTGTGCTCAGTTTGTGTGAATGGTCTGCTGTAAGGGAGGAGGGGGTCCAAACACAAACAGGTCAGTCCTTATCAGGAAGGAAACAGGTTGGGGAGAAGGGCCCCTAACTGCCAAAAGTTAGAGTGGGCCACCAGGGATAATATTTTCATTAGAAACACAGGAGAGATCACGTCTGCCTCCACTTTATTCTACTTTCTTCTCTCTCACACACACATGTGCAGCTTGATTGAACGGTGTGTTTGATGGAGCAGCAGCCACACCTCTGTGGGGCGATGTGATGCTGATAGCTCTGCCCCACAGCGAGCTCCATCCCTGCAGGACCTCCTGAAGCCTCCTCGCTCCCTGTCGAGGATCGCGATTACGTGTGCGCGCGCAGTGCTGACACAGTTGGCGGCTGAGCCATTGTGTTGTACAGTTGTGTGTAGGGGGGGTCATTATGTTGCACTTTATCAGAGAGCTTCCCTCCTTTTCTACACTGCCACATTTGATGCGCATGGCTGTGCGCCAAGGTAAACACGGGCCGCACTTATCTGCCTTTACTGAAAGCTGCAAGTGGTGATGGGGAGGGATGGAGGGGTGAGGGTGGAGGGGAGCGGCGAGAGGAGAGAGCGAGTTTGTCCCCAGAGGAGTCCACAGTAAATAGGCACAAGCGATTGCACACGATTTAGCATCAACTTTAATTATTGCATGTATTCAGAGATAACACTTCTCGGGCTCGCCTGCAAACTGATTTATGCAGTGTCTGACACATTCCCGGTCGTTCCTCTACTAGGAATCATTCATTTCTATTCAGAGATGTGAGCATATGCACGCTCCATCCAGAAACAAAAAAGAAAAAAAATGCTAACCATATTCGTGCATTTTTGAGTGGGGGCGCATGTGTTGCGCTTGAATATTTATGAGGTAAAACGTGCAAGAAAGCTTTGTTGGATGGATGTGGATGTCAAACCCCGGAAAGGTGTGCTGATGTGCCCATCTGGTAGCACTTTCACGGTGCTTGCCGTGGCGTATGTGCCCAAAACGGAACCCTTTCGGCTCTGCAGAACTAATCTGAGAGCCGAGGGACTGTGGAGCACAGGAGGTGGGACGGTGACCCGGCATTAACCCCGAGATGAGCGGAACCACGCAGGGGTGGAGACTCATCAAGTGGCTCATCTTGAAAGGAACGGTGGACGGTCATTACAACTTCATGTGATCGGTTCACATTAAGTTAACGTATAGATTCGCTACTATTATAGACAGAGTGAGGGGGAAAACACATCAGGATCTGATAACTAAACAGCGATCAATCACAGCACAGTGGCCTGACAGCGCGCTTTGATGGGATGTGTCATTCCAGGGAGTCGGTGCCATTCTTCAGGGTTAATGAGTTAACGCCCCTTCCCCCAGTGAAGTCCAGTTTTACTTACACTTTCTAATTTATTAATCCTTTATTTATGAATCCATTTTTATACAAGCCGGACTAAAATGTGACTCCAAATAAGTTTGATCGCTGTTACGCAGACGTGATAGTGTCCAAAATTGCGCACGAACAAATCATCTGTAATTTGTCTCTATTTGGGTGTTTTTACTTTTAAATAATCTTTGACCTGGTATTGTGTCTCAGTGCGCCTCGGGAGAGAGGCTGCTGCTGCTGCACAGTGGGCAGAGAGGGACAGAGGAGGCTGCCTGAAAAGGAAGCACGACTCGCTTATCGCGTCATTCTGGGTTTAGGCGTTGAGCAGGAAACAGCCTTTCCTCTCGAATTGTCGCAGTAGGAACAAACACATAATTTTGTCTTTGCTCAATGCAACCCTCGGCACAGAACACGCGGAAGCCGGTCAGAAGGAAAAATGCCTCCTTCGATAGAGATAGCCGTTCTGCTTCTCGGCGTCCTGGCTTTGGAGACGCGCCGGAGTGCCAGCGCGCTGCACATCCAACAGGCATTCCCGTCTCCAAATCACACCAATAACTTCGTGGTGGACCCGGTGTCCAGAAAGGTGTACCTGGCCACCGTTAACTCCGTTTACCAGCTGAACGGGACCTTGAGCGTCGAGGTGGAGAAGAGGACCGGGCCGGTGGAGGACAACCTGTTGTGCCATGCGCCACAGCTGCCCCAGGCTCCGTGCGAGCATCCCAAATCCCTCACTGACAACTACAACAAGCTCCTGAAGCTGGACCGGGAGCAAGGGGTCGTGGTGGTGTGTGGATCGGTGTATCAGGGCTTCTGCGAGCTCCGGAAAATGGAGAATATTTCGGAGATAGCGGTCGAGTTCCCACCTCAGGGCGAGAAGACTGTTTTCCCCAGCATGCTCAACATCGCTGCCAATCACCCGAACGCGTCCACCGTCGGGCTCATCTTCAAGAGCCACGGGGGAAACACCCGGCTTCTCGTCGGGGCCACGTACACAGGGGCTGGAACCCAGTTTTTCCCCAAAAATCACAGCAAGGAGGACCTGCGTTTTGAGAACACCCCGGAGATCGCGATCCGCTCCTTGAACATCAAGGATTTATCCAGACTTTTCACCTATGACATTAACCCGTCAGAGGATAACGTGTTCAAGATCAAACAAGAGGTCAAAACCAAAAACAAACTCAACTTCGTGCACGCATTCATCCAGAAGACTTATTCTTATATTGCCTTCAACAATGACGCGAAAATGGGGCACAAGGAGAGCCAGCCCAACAGCATCCTCGCCAGGATTTGTCTGGATACCGAGAATCCCCGAAAATCCACAGGGCCGGAGAGCAGGAAGCTCACGGAATCCTACATCCAGATGCCTCTACAGTGCGGATTTAACGGGAACATTTACAACCGGCTGCTGTCCGTGTACCCCGCGGAGATCCAGTCGGAGGACGGGCAGAGTTCAGAGCCGTACCTGTTTGGAGTGTTTTCCAAGGCGGACAGAAAGTCTGCTCTGTGCGCTTTCAAGTTTGGAGACATCGAGGAGCAGATCCGACAAGGCCGCAGGAACTGCTCCAACTCACCCAGCAGCGATGTTCAGGTGCTGGACAGCGTTATCCAGGGCTCCGGGGCAGCCTGCATCCAGAAGGGAAACCTGGTGGTAAGAGCTTGTATGGTATTTTATTAAGAATTTAATTCCCAGTTTGTTTAGTTTACTTTGATTTTTTTTTTTTCTTATGTTGGCAAAAAGGTACGTTTTACCAAATGATATTCTGCCTTTAAAGTGTAATATAGCACAAAAGAAAATGTTTGTTTTCAAAGCAACAAACTAATAAGTGACATTAAGAACAGGGGAGCAGCTTCTAATGATCAATCTTATCAGCAGGTTCATTATTTTATTTTTTTCCATTTATTATCTTTGCATTATTTTGTGAACAGTATATATTTCTAAATAGATTCAAGCCTGGAGATGATGAAAATTGGAGTTTTTCCTCATAAACCAAAGTCAAATTCCTTGTATGCCCAAACACAGCAGAGTTTGTCCAATAAACCTGCTTCTGATTCATGAAACCTAAAGTCTCCTACAGTTGTTCAGACTGCAATAAGATTAACTCACTCATGACTGCTGCATCTCTCTGCCAGCTCCCATTTGTGCTTACAAGCAGTTATCCTCTTTAGCCCAGCGGCTCCTGACTCGGAGAGAAGATCTCCCATGTCAGGAGTAGAGGTCATGATAGCTGGAACGACCCTCCAGAGCCGCACTGGGGGTTATGGGAAGGGTGAGACTCCTCTCACATGCAACGACTCCCTGTCTTATCAAATATAAAGATGGGAAGGGGTCAATAGTTTATTGTTTTTCCCTTAAACTCCAGACATTTGATTTTTTTTTTTATTGAGCGTGTGCTACTAACTATAACCCAGCCACAAATTTACCACTAAGTTAGGAGATAAAGAGGTGCTTTGTTACAAACACACAGTCGGATATTATCAAGAGTTTATAGCTTGCCTTTAACTCACATGCCAAACTAAATATTTGCCCTTAAGGACACTTTAGCAACGCACACTATATTTGACCGCTGTATAGTTGCTGTCTGATAATAAAGACAAAGAGAGCTTCATAAGGAATGCAGGGAAATTTCAGCTTCTCATTGTGGTGCTTTTTGACTGACAGAGCTGAGGTCAAAGGCAGCAGTCCCGTGACCACTGTGCTGTCAGGTCAGAGAGCTGCCGTGCTCGCTGCCACTGCCTTGTTGGCTGTGGCCCCGGGGCTGCTCCTCCTGTGACCAGCTTTCTGAATACATCTCAGTTTGCCCCCCCAGGGCCTCCTGAGATAGACAACTGCACGGTTCAGTGTGATTCAGTGCTGATTTCACTTCTCTCGCTGTGATACAACCTATACACCGCACGCAGAATAAAGTTTTACATTCTTTAGTTTTACATTTACGTTGCTGTGGCGGCTGAAATGTGATCTTTTTTGTAGTCGACAGTTTGAAGACGAGCACTGAGGGAAAGCCAGACACTATTTATGATAAGAGAGACGAGGCCGCGAGCAGAAGGGCCCGTGGGAAACGACTCTACAAATATCCACTGTGCTTAATTCTTTTTTCTTTTTTCTTTCTTTCTTTTTTTTTTGCCTCTGCGTGCTCTAAAATATTCAGAGAATTCCCAATAGATCCTGGTGCTCATCCGTGCGTGGCACTAATGTTTTATCATTGCCCACCGAGGATTTGACAAAAGCAAAGTCTTATGAGTGTTGAAGACCCTTGTAAGCCCTTTTCAAGTATTCACTGAGATGTCTAAAAAGTGATTTAGAAGAATGAGCAGCACCAATGTGATAGCTACTATCAGCTCTTGTTTTCTACGACACTTTCATCTCACAGCGCTGCCTTTGTGCTCTGCTCCCTCCTGTCTTCTAATCTGTACGGCGTTCTTCCATATGAA